GCTAACCCTTTTATTAAAAGGGTCGGGTATGGATCATCACCGATCCGATCCATTTATAACCCGCCCCGTATACATTTTAGAATTATACGTTTATATTTTATCATGTATAAAGTTTAATTTTAATTCTAATCGAAAGTCCAAAGGGGAAAAAGCCAAAGACCAAACTATTTTTACATAGGACTCGATGAGTCAACTTCTGGATGGTCTATTAACAAGAATCATGGTATCATTTCATTAATATTTCATCAAGGAACCATTAATTTCATTTATAAATCAATAAAGTCATTATCAACCGGAAGAAAGTTTGCAACTGCTACTCTCTATCACCGCATTCGACATTCAAAAATCAATCGGAAGTTACTACAACAGTGAATTTAATTCCAATCGAAAGTCATTGAGTATGCAATGCGTTTTCTAAATAAACATTTTTGTTTGATTATTCAAAAAACCTACGGGTTATGGGGAGGGTTTGGATATCTGTTGATTCGGTGGATAAGGGTATGGGTTTGATTATTCAAAACTCTGCATGTTACAGAGCGGGTTTGGATTGGATTTTGAAATTTGTTAAACGGGTTTGGATCAAGGTTGATTCGCTCCAAACCCACCCCATTGTCAGGTCTAATAATGACACACACACGCACAAAGGTAGATGTTCGGGCGATTTGTAAAAAAGATGCAAAGATATTGTACAAAAAAAGTAAAAAAAATTATTTAAAAAAATTAAATAAAAGAAAATTGTATGGAAAACTTTTTTTAAAGAAAATATAGACTGAAATATTAAAAGTACTTTAAAATTGTACTAAAACTGTAAAAGATGTACATGAATTTCATAAAAAGAATAGAAGCTAGGCTAAAACCGTAAAAAAATAAAAATAAAAATAAAAATAAAAATAAAATGAAAATGAAAAAATGAAAAGGTTATATTTTAAAAAATGGATAAAAGAAATGGAAATGAGAGGAGTACATGGAAGGGAACAAAGATGAAAGATTCGAACCCGCCTCCCGACAAAAATATGGTATATATAAATTGAAGTTATTGTTATTGTAGCCCAAGAATCTTTAGTATAACGGCTTAAATGGTCCATCATTGTTTTTTTGCCTTTAAAGGGTATCAACTTGTATTTTACCGGTCATTTTGGTATTTTTACCCACATTAGTAGGTAACACTGCTTTGTCAAGGGCCAAGTAAGCAGATGAGTCAACAATATCCCCAAAATCTTGAAAACCTGCAACAACTACAATCAAACATGGTGTCACACTCTTCTAAAAATCTATACCCACAAGTCGATCAATCAAACCCAGATTCATATTCCTCATTTTCATCATCAAATCTTTTCGTTGTACTTCTTCTCATTTTCCGGTGACGCTCCAACTTCATCTTCGTCTCCTTTCGACAGCCATCCAGTCTTCGAGATCTGAACCGGGAGCTTCTTGTAACCTAGCGATGATATAGCCGCATAGAACGCATCAATCTGAGAGAACAACATGTTATCGCAATGCAATTTGGTACATGGATCAACGATTCCAGCAATAATTTGAAACATAACGAAATCAAGTGAAACTTGCTTCAGATCAGCTTTGTACGCGAAGAACGGATAAGCATTGATGAGGGAGGAATAGAGAGCATGTTTTCGAGAGGAAATCTAAGATCAGAGCGATACATCCTTTCAGATCTTGCTGGAAAGCTCATGTCGATGGCGGATACGAAGATTGAAGAATAGCAACAGAATGTGTAGTGGTAATAGCAACCTGACTGTCTAATTTCAAATTCACAAGAGTAGTATGTACACTCTGCATCGCCGGAAGCAAACATCCAGACAAAGAAGTATCATTGCATGTCAATACTTCATTTCCGACAACAATGGAGGTGATTTTAGTCGCCGGTAAGTAACACTAAACATTAGCCTTCACCCAAGCTTGAGTATTAGCTGGAAATGTCATCTTCGAAAGGTACTCATTACCTAACCCCACAATAAAATCAACCCCAATGTTTGTAAAAGGTTTGAGCACCTTAGGATCGGCATCATAGAGTTTCACTCTGGTGGCACCAATGGCTTTTACCAACGGAACCACATGCTCCGGTGAAGGAAGATTGTTTGTGATCTGTCCATAATTTATCCCTACCGAAGCCATTAACACATGCAATAAAAACTCTACAGAAAACAATAACCAAAATCAACAAAATAGAACGGAAAATTGGGAGAAAACACAAGAATTTAAAGATAACATTACCAGTAAATAGAAGAGAAAGCTTTGAATCTTCCATAGATGAAAGAGGTGGAGAAGATGGATGAGGTTTTGGTTATGTGTATGATTGAAAGGTAAGGAAAGTGACAGCAGTAGTAGTAGCAAAAGTGTTTGATTCTAGGACGTTTCTTCTTTATAATCAATCGTCATTGCAGGTTGAGGTCGAATATGCAAAACATTGGCAAAGGTACAATCCAATCTACTTTTTCTTGGGGTCACAGTTGATCAATTAACTAAGTCCATCTGAAAGAAACAAGTTGAAACTGTTTATGAGCCTATCTCTATGTACAAAACTTCACAAGGAAAACCAACAGGAAAATATGTGAAGACAAAGCTGTGATGGTGTATCTGAGGGAATAGGCAAAGACCTTTGACTTTTGAAAGTCAATGTGGGTTGAGGAAACTGATGATTAGGATGAGGGAAACCAATATGGCATATGCAAAATGATGAATAGGATGAGGGAAACCAACGTGACATATGCAAAATGATGATTATGATGGGGGTCACCGGGTGACCCTTTCAAATTTTCCATAATGACCTTTTAAAACCTAAACATAAGTTTGTACATTTCAAAGACAAAAAAAAATCTTGAACGAGTGCCTATTTAAACCATTATACTAAAGATTGTTGGGCTACAGTGACAATTGTTGGGTTATGAGCATAACATCATTCATATGGTGTTCATGCAACCCTAATTGCTTTGATCTAGGTTTTCTACTATGAACATAACAACAT